GGTCTCTGATTTCCTTCTTGATCATTGGAAAGACTCCTCTGTATGTCGTTGGTCGTCTGTCTCCTTCGATCTCTCTGGCTTCATTAGCAGCTTGGTTTGCTGCCTCATTTTCTCCTATTCCAACATGGCTTGGAATCCACTGAGTTTTTATTGTGGCTCTGGCTTCACTGAACTTACGGCGCAAATCATTGCAGAGGGACTGACTGTCAGTCAAGATCAGCACATTGGTCCTACTGTGGCAATTGTCAGCAATCCATTGTGCAGCAGACATCATTGCCTGGCATTCCTCGTCATACGATGATGTAAGGAATGCACCTTTAGTTGTAATAATTTCTGTTCTTTGTGGTTCATCATTCATTATCACCACTGCTGCTGCTCCACCTTCGCGGTATCCAGCGACTGCCGATCCATCGGTGAAAATTGTCACATCCGCACCAACCTCTTTGATCACATCCTCAGCTGCTTCACGTGCCTTTACAGGATCATCACCATTTCCTTTTACTCCTCTCAGTTTTGTCCGAATTTCGATTTCGCCATGGGTCTCCCATGGACTAGCTTTCACCAGATTGATAGGCCATCGATTCTCTGCCTCCGGGGGAGGTGGTCTGCTAGATCGGTGCCCATCCGAAACCAACTTTTCCTGCGGTTTTTAGGCTTGACTGCTTGATCAAGGGCTTTCTTTCTTGGATGGTTGTCGGGTAATCTCTTGGCCATCTCTACAGACTTGAGGCATGTTCTTTTTGTATAGGCGATGTAGTGCTCAGTTCTGGTCTCATAGCGCAGCGCTTCTGTTGGTGTTTTCCGCTGACTTGATACAAGTCGGAGGGCTTTGTTTTGTATTCTGTCCAGGGCCTTTGCACTAGTCTCACTCTGCCACGCTGGGGCAGCATAATCAAAAACACGCTGGGACGTGCTTGTTGCCAAAGGACAGATCTCCTTTATGTGTTCTCCCTGATTGGCGAGTAGAGGTGCCTCTTTGCAGTGACTTTGGTGTCGGCTGCAGAGCTTCCCCACTGGTTGTGGCTGTCTTCTTTGAGAACGGTACTCCCCATCGTGAAGGGGACAGCTTGCCACTTTGGATACCTGATGATGATGATGATGATGATGATGATGATGATCACTTCCGGTAAACCGATGTTCCCGCCTCAAAATTATCCTTGTCAAAAACCTAGATGCAAAACATGTGCCTACATGAAAGTAACCAACTTTGTAGAAGGCCCCCACTTTAGAAGAAAACTT